AGAATTTTAATTCCACGAGATTTGTTGTAAATTCACCATATAACATTCAATATAATAAAAATATGAAAAATAAGGGTAATAAAAGGCAACTTGCAACAAATACATACTATAAAATTGTTTCTATTAAGAAAGGGTTGTTGAAAATCAAATGAATATGAAGCAATATACTTTGCACTACAAATCAACTTCTCTTTATAGTGATAGTGTCCAAACTATTTCTTCTTTTCATCCACCACAGTAATTATCATGAGTGAGAACAGAACATATAAAAGGAGAAAATTGATGTATGTTCTGTGTTGTTTCATATGTGTGCTTATGTTCTTAACAAAGACAGAAAAAGCAAAGTAATAAAATAGTCCAATGGAAACTGGATTACTATATTCAATATATAATACTTTAATATTTTATTCCAATAACAAACTCATATATAAATTATATCTAGTTAAATAAAAATCCATTGGAACTCAACTTCCAAAGGAACAGCAAGTTTATTAAGAAAAATGAATGCCAAGATTTGATAGAAGAAAAAAAATAAGTACTGCAGAAATTAAAGATGAAACTTATTTACAATATAGCTGCCTTAAATCATTTAAATATAAATTAAAACATTAAATGAAAATTAAATTTTACAGGAAAAAAGGATATAGAATTAAAATTGTTAGATTAAAGTGACAAATTTTATACTTCTGAATGTGAATGTATATTCAACATTTCTTCCAATTAGCAGTGACAAAAACACTACTTCCCATAGCTTAAATCTGCATATCATCCTAAATTTACTTATGTTCAGTATTAAAATTGAAATCCTATTACAAAAATCCTAGGCTTTATATTTTACTGGCTAAAATGAGTAAAGAATAAATAAATAAATTAGATTTTTGTTCAATAAGATATCATGAGAACCAATACAGTATAAAAATAAATTCTGAATCTAATTGAAATGAAAATTGAAACTAATTTATTGTTCTTAGTTAAAATGTAACCTGAATGGCAAAGTAGCCATTTATTTTTTTTCTCCTTTATTATAATTATAAAATGCAAAATTGCAATGACTTGCCTGTACTGCATTTAGCCTATTTTTCAAAAAATGTTTTAACCAAGAGGATAATAAACATGAACATATTATTACTACCTTTCATATTATATAAAAGTGTTCTATTGAGTTTAAATAGAAAAAAGTATCTTACCTTGAATATCCATTGGAGAAGACAGATCTGTTTGAAAAATTCAAAGCCCCTACTGGTGTAAGGGCATCATCTCCAGATCCCTGGCACCTATTCCAATTTTCTGAACTAGCAGAATGAGATGGAATGGCATTGAAAACTGGTTTCTTATCCTGCTGTTGAGTGACAGATGCAGTGTTCAAATCATAGTGGTAAACTTGTCCTCCAGAAGTGCTAACACCATGAACAGAAATGGCAGATGTTTTATTTCCAACCATACTTGACCCAGAAAAATTAGCCTGGCAGTAAGTTGTGCCTATTTTCTCCTGCTTTATTACTCCAGGGGTACACAATTCAATAAAATCTTCTTTTTCAGTTTTCACTTGCGGCATCTGCATTGTAGAACTTGACAAAAGATCCTCACATTCATTAATATTAGGCTTTGTGTCTGGTAAAATGGGAGGCTTGCAATCCTCCATTTCATTTCCTTCCAAAAGAAAACTCTCATCCCCACCAAGAGGCGAAAGCAAGCTACTTTCATCCAGAACAGGATCCATTCTCCAAGGGCTTCCATTTGTTTCTCTTCCAGGAGACACTGGTGGCAAATCAAAATCTTGCAAAATATCAAAGGTGCTTTGGTCTTCTGAAAAGAGCTTCAAGCTGCCACTGTTACTGTCAACCTGGCCTTGTGCTAAAGACCCTTGATTTAAAGTAAGATCACGACCAGTCATAGCTGGGAACTCTGGTTCTAGGGAAACATCAGTAGATGCAACTCCTTTTGAGCTTTCTATCAGACTAGAGGATTTATTCAAGCTCGCTATGCTTTCTTCAAGGAGTCTAAAATCTGTTTCCCCAGAGGAGAGGCTGATTGGGCCTTGCTGAGGAAATCCAAGTTCATTTCCCATTACTTTTGTATCGGTTTCACCCATATACAGCAGTGAAAGTGACACTGCTTTGGAGAGATCCGGCTGCGGCACATTGCTTCCTAACCCCTTTGGTAAGTCACACAGAACAGGTTGCTTGGAGTCAGATTGAGATGAGGCAGACAGGGTAGATACAGGAGTCTTGACAGAAGCACCACCCCTAAAGGATGGATGAAAGTGAGCACTTTTCCCTCTTTCCTCCCCTCTGGTGGATTTCAACGATTCTTTGGGCTCCATTATTTTAATACTAATAAAAGAAATAAAAGAAACCACCATTAGCCTGAGATCAGAAATATAAGGATTTACGAAGTAATGACCACAAGAAAAAAAAGAATATTAAAAAGGTAAACTTAATAGTTTTCAATGTCTTTAAGTAATATTTCTAATACAAAGCCTTCCAATGGTTTGAAAGTTATCTTGATTTAATCAAATATTTGTCTAATATAATCAAACCACAAAAAACAACAGAATAACTATTTAATAGAGCATTTAACTCATGTCAAATTAAAGATTGTTTATAAATATTACAACAAAAATTTTAATTTGTAAACTTTTCCTAAACTATTTTATTTTCAAGAATTCTCACTCAATTCTATTCAAATATTGTTGCATTTGTTATGCATCACAACTTACAAATCCATTCGTCCTCTAGATTTCTCAGTATGATCCACTGACTTAACTTTCGTTAAAAAAGAAATCTTACTATATAGTATGGCTGTAAATTTAGAAATAGAAATTTAGAAATAAATCTTATTCTTAAAACACTAAAAAATATTTTTAGTATGTAGTATAAATGTATTTGGATACATTTATCTGTCCTTAAGTCCTTTGCACAGATTTTATGAAACTGCCTAGGGTATTTATGAATGGCAAGAAGGCAATTTATAATAAACAAAAAGGCAGCATATAAATGACACAGCCAATTCTGCAATATCCTCTTCAAAAGTTGCATGAAACTTTTAAAATTCCTTTTGGGCCTTGACAAAAAGAATTGTGCAATTTTAAAAGATCCCCACTATAACATAGCTCTAAAGTAAAAAAAGAAAAAGAAATAAAAAGAGGGAAGGACAGAAAAAGAACCGGAGTTACCACATTTGACAAGTATCTCTCCTTGTCATTATGTGACAGACAACGCCAAAGGGATAAATCTATCATATGATTCATTTGCTGGAAGAGAAAAAAGCAACTCCAAAGATATTTAATCTTTTTTGAGTTGAAATTCTCCTTCTTGTAAAGATGAAAAAAAGAAAGAAAAATGTGTCGGGACCTGTTGAGCATTTGCCTGGCACGCCCACTTCTGCAAAATAACATCAGCCCTTTGCTTAAAAAAAAAAAAATTCCAACCAAGTCCAAGTTTTCAACTCCTTGTCTGTTACCAATCCGTGGGGCCGCCAAATAAAAAAAGGGGAAACAGGGAGGTGGATAGCATACTTAAAAAAAAAAGTGAACAATTTTTTTAAAAAACAAACAAACCTTGCAAATAGTCTTTTTTTTAAGTCGAGGGGAAGATAAAGTGGAGGGAGGGAACCATTACATAAGATTTATACTACTTTTGCAGTGCAGTCCCATACACGTCTATCAGAAGGAAAGTCCGTTTGAATTCAGAGTCCCTCACTCTTAAGTAAATAGATACAGGATCGCAAACTTAAAATCATTCCATTCCAAGAAGGGATCCTATTTTGGACATTCTCTTAAACCGGATTAAAATGAGCCAAAGATGGTAGTGGAACAGAATAGGAAATCAACCCTACCCACCCACCCAACCTCCCTCCCTCTCTCGCCTACATTAGACATATAGGCGCGTACATATACGTACGCTACTTAAACACACACCAGACAGATACCCTTCTCCCTCGGTCCCCGTTTAATAAGGACGACTTTAAAGTTAAGCGACGCAATGGATCGAAGGGAAGGGGCTCCCACCCTTCTCCGGCCTCACCACCACTCGGCAGCAAGAGGCTCGGTCTTAATGGCGGGAGTGGAGGTGGGAGGGGGGAGAAGGCATTACTGACAGGGTGGAGGGTGACCTCTACAGAAAAAAAAGCACTCGGCCGCCGCTTCAGCCGTGCATCTTCCATTCGAGAGGGACAGAGCCTAAAAGTAGAAACCATTCCTCCCCCCCCCCCGGCCCACACCTAAAGGGGGGGGGGAGAGCGAGAGACACCCCTTACCGTATCCAGTGGGGGCGCTGGGAGTCCTCCTAACCGCCAACTTCCATGGCTCCAGCAGGCAGCGAAGCAAATAAACAACTTGGTGGGGACTGGAAGGAAGCAGAGTTACGGGGCGACGGGATTGGGTGTGGGGTGGGGGTGGGGGGTGAAAGCAGCCGCCCCTTTGCAGATGAGGAGGTAAGCAGCGGCCCCCTCCCTTTCCTCCCCACACGCACACACTTGACAGGCGGACCCGCGCTCGCTCTCTCTCTCTCTCACACACACACACACGCCACCGCAGCCCCTCACCTGCTCCTCTCCCACCCGCCCCCGCTCGCGTGCAGCACACACACACTTCTGCCCCAGCGATTAATTAAAGTCACACTTTCTCTCTCCCTCCTTCCCCAGGTCTCTCCCGCCTTCCCCTGCCAGGGCGTCCCGCCCTCCCCTTCTTCCCCCTCCTCCTCCCCCTCCTTCTCTTTTTCTTCCTCCTCCTCCTCTTCCTCCTCCCCCCCCGCCAGCTACTCCGTCTGCGCTCAGCTCTACGGTTTGTGCCCCAGCCACAAAATGGAGGACGACGACGGTGCTAGCAGCAGCCGCAGCCACGGCAGCCTCCGCCTCCTCCTCCTCTCCCCCCCCTCCCTCCCCCAGACCAGGGAAAGAGAGCAGAGACGCGGCAGAGCGGGGAGCGCGCGCGCCACGGAGGAGCGCGCGAGCGTACGGGCTCGCGCATTGCGGGGCAGCCGAGGGGGAACGGTGCAACCTGTTGACTGAGAACAGCAACTGCAACCCCCGGCAGGGCCTCCTTCTCTCCCCCCCCCCACCTTTCTAGAAACGTGCCGCTTGCCGCTAACAGTTTCTTTTTCCTTCTTCCCTATCTTAATTTCTTTCTTTCTTTTTTCTTTTCGGTTTCTTATCTTTCCCGCTGCAGCCCACGGTTTTATTTTTATTTTATTTTTTTTGCTTTGGTTTTTGTAAGCAGCATTTAGACGTCAAGCCCTCTGCGTTTTTAAAAGGTAACTGCGATGGGTGACAGGCAGCCTTCGCGTATTTCACTTATGGGGAAATCCTAATCAACCTGGTGAAACTATTTTTTTTAAAAAAATATCAGGTCTGGGCTGTTCAAAGGGGGCGAAAAAGAGCGAACGAGGGACGACGAAAACAGGCAACAAACCTTCAGAGAGGATTGAAGGGCCAGCGCTGACGCGTTAAGCCGAAATGACAGGAAAAGATTTAGGTATTTCCTAGAAAATAACACTTTTTAGAATTGTAAATGCGGGGTGCCACCTTATATATGCGTTATTAGGAAAAAAAACAAATCTACTTAAACAGGTGATTTTTTTGGGGGGGAGTGTATGTCTATAAATTGTATGCTATAGAGTCAATAGACAATAATTGGCTATTGAGGAGCAGGCCTCCTCATTACATGTCTCATTTTGAAACAGTTTTCAATATTAATTATAGGTTAGCAAAAAAAAAATCAAGTTCTGCATTAGCTAATGGTTTATACACCTCACTTGTAGGATGTATGAGTCCAATGAAAACAGACTGGAAGAAGACTTGCATGATGAATTTCTGTACATATAATTATCAATTTGGTATCTGCGGTATTTTTTCATGCAGTGTCCACATGCAGACACATACTTCTAGAAATATACATACATACACACATACATGTGTATGTGTGTGTGTTTGATTCAATTAAATTTTGTTTAATTCAATTTAAGGTACGCAGCGCATAAGTGTTGTGCCAACATGAACAGTACTGTTTTGAACCTAGAATGACTATGTCAGCTGTCCCAAGTTTGAAAAGCCAGTGGTGATCTTGGAGTTTAATTTGAGTTAGCATTAAATAGTTCTGCTCTGCATGTAAAATACAGCTTGGCTGCTTTGAATGAATCCATGCTTGAATTTTATTTTTTTAGTTTGGGATTGGGTTTTTTTTTTAAGTAGAAAAACAGCCTAGTCAGTTCAATAGTAGGATTTGACATACCATGCTGTTTGTAGGTTAGATCAGATAGTGTTAGACAGATGGGTGTCATGTACAGAATGCAGGGGCAAAGATGTAGTTTCTAAGCACTAGGAGAAAGGATTGAAGGATCCATGTTCATCACCTGCTTCTACTTTTGTGCAGTTTGAAGACTACTTGCAATTGTCTGCTTACCTGGTAAGCAAATTTTACCTGATAAATAAATTACTGCTGTTTTTATTTATTTATTGCTTATTAAAAATTAGACGGTGAGTTATACTTCATGTTTTGTGTTGTTGTTTTTTATAGCTGATAGCCTGCAAGGAAAAACAGGTAAACAGAAGTAAAACATAAGCATGCCTTTTAAACTAAAAATCTCCATGGCACTTCCCAAATGTTTGCTCATTGCTACCTCTTGAATCCTTTGAATCAGGATATTCTAAACAATTTCTCAAGCATATTTAACGAACGGAATCTCCTATTTTTTTAGCATTCTTTCTTGCTACCCATGCAAGGAAACAATAATGACATTCATCCAATCATGAGGCAGAGATGCAAGTCACTATTCACTATCATTTCCTCGCTTCCCAACTTTATACACATCTGTGTGTCTTCAAAAATGGAAGCTATTCATACATAGTAGGTTCGTAATAGATGCCAGGGAAACTGTATGCCAAAGTCTCTATGGGGAGGAGAGGGGATGTAATGTCCAGCTAATTTGTTGGCTGAAAACTTGTCATGCTGCTGAAGAAGCATTGGCATTGAAATCTGCTCTAATTTGAGCATATGAAAAGTTATGGAGAAGGAAATGGGTCATTTAAAATAGCCCATAATGTCCAGCTGGCCAGCTATCCTGGCAGAGCAACACACTGTCTTTCTTCAAGGAAGTAAGATCTCAAACAATTGTTGTGATGGCATTCTCCCCATTCCCAAGGAAAAGGAGAGAAAAAGAAAATGGAAGAATTGCCTGAAGATCATCTAGCTGAGCTTCTACATAGGGATCCTTCTCTTGCGGAGTGCAGATTTGATCAGATAGGAAAAGAACCTTCCAGTCCCAAGAGTTTCCCAGAGTGAACCAAATACCAAAGAAAAGAAGGAAAATTTTTCCAGGTGCAGAATGGAGATGGGATGAGTATTGTAAAGTTGGGAATATTCTGATTTACACGATAAACCATCCACCAGCTTATTTTGCAAGTTAGAAATTTAAGAAATGCAAGTTAAAATGACAAAAAGAATGTGCCCACCTGAGCTGTGAATTTGTGAGGCGTTTGTTCCAAATTGTGGTCAATTTGGATTTCCTTTGAGGAGATGGCACCATTGCTAAAAGATTTCTTTAATGGCCAAAAATATCCTAGTAACTTTCATGTAAAAATATTTGCTGGAAAATACAGGCAATCCACAACTTACAACCACAATTGACCCCAACATTTCTGTTGCTCAATGAGACATTTGTTAAATGAGTTTTGCCCCATTTTACAACCTTTATTGCCACAGTTAAGTGAATCACTGCAGTTAAGTTAGTAATACAGTTGTTAAGTGAATCAAATCTCCCCATTGACTTTGCTTGTCAGAAGGTTGCAAAAGGTTACCCCATTACATTACCCCAAGACATTGCAATTGTCATAAATATAAGTCAGTTGCCAAGCATCTGAATTTTGATCATGTAACCATGGGATGCTACGACAGTCGTAGGTGTGAAAAACTCATGTCCCTTTTTTTCAGTGCCATTGTAGCTGAACAGTCACTAAATGAATTGTAAGTCAAGGAGTACCTGTATTGGCAGGTATGCCCTCAATTTGTAGTATAAAAATGCAAATCCCAAGGGAAAATGGGAAATATCACCCTGATCTAGATGATAGAGGATTTTTAAAAGATTATTCCTGTTTGAGAAGAAGAAAAGTTTGTTAGTGTGTTGGAATCCCATTCAAAATGAATGAGCTTCCTTCTTGGTAAGATGAGTCTGGGTGTAGTTCGTGCAGCAAAATTAGAAAGAAATTTATGATAACAATTGGCAAGCTCAAATAAAAATGTATGTCCTTGATAGCCTACAACTTAAAGAAAGTAAACAAAGATAAAATATAGGACACTTACAAATGCATAGCATTTCTCATATTCAACTCTTGACTCATTGATGATTTTTGTTCATTGTCACCTCTTTTAAAGAAAGCTCTCAAAACTATATATTTAGTCTTGGTGTATCCATTTGCTTTTTGTTTGAGGAAATACCGTAGCCCTTATAGTTCCATATGGATAAATCAAAAGCGATCTCTTTAGTGCACCATAAGAGTTGTACTTACAAAGGTGTTGAAGTATGGACACGAGGCAAATGAGAACATTTTTCCAATAAACTACTACAAAAAATCCACAATTTGCATGAAAAATATATTTCAAAAATCCTATGAAAACTGAGAAACGGTATGTTACACTGCCGCATATCCAAATTTCTCATAATGATAGTCAAAGGCAATTAAATATTTGTTGTATTGTGTCATGCAACTAAAAACATCAACTTCCCTTGATTCATTGAAAGGGCTACTCAGATACAAAATAGTCATGGAAATAAGTAGATGACATATGTTTACATATCCTTCAACATTTTCATTTCTAATAGTTTTGTAAGCCAAAACTTCCCGACAGGTCACATGTTTTGACAGCAGCACCTGCCAGCTGTTTGGATGGAAAAGGACAGAGATTTTGAGGAGTAGGAGGATGACACTTGAGTAATGAGAGAGTGACAGAGGCTGATGGGAGTATTAAAATAGGTGGAGTTCCAAATGAAGAAAGAATGAGTCATCATTTCACATCATTGCTCCTGTTTTTGGTGAAATCCAGCTTCAATTGTTTGGATCTCACTTAGGAGATGACAATGTTGAAATAGCATTCCAACATCTACACTACTTCTGATTGATACCAGGGATAAACAGCTTGATCTTACTATATTAATTATCATTCAACCAGAAACTTTCTGACCATCTTTATATAAATATTGATAGCAAAATGAGAATTTGGACGTCTATGTGTAGTGGCCATTGGACTACGCAGAGGTCCTCTAAAACAATGTTGTCCAACCTTTCTGGTTCAGTGGACTGGTGGAGGTGGTAGGGGAGATACCGTATATACTCGAGTATAGGCCGACCCGAATATAAGCCGAGGCACCTAATTTTACCACAAAAAACTGGAAAAGTTATTGACTCGAGTATAAGCCTAGGGTGGGAAATGCAGCAGCTACCGGTAAATTTCAAAAATAAAAATAGATACCAA